TTGTTTGCATTCTTTCTTTTTCTCAAAGAGAAGACGACAAGAAGGAAAAAAAAAAAAGTTTGAAAGTGAAATCAGACCTAGTATGATCAATTAAAATGTGTTGTTACAAGTCGTCGCATACCAGTGGGCATCGTTTGGGCTGCGGCCCTTTCTAACTGCGATAATGGTTTATTATGGAGATAACGCAACATCCATGCATGTTTCCATGTTTTATCTCAACTCCAGTTTAAAACAAATGAATCAAACCTACACTCGCTTTTATGGAGATAATCGATTCCTACTCCACTAATTTTATGTCCCATCTCGATTTCTATCTTTCCGAGTTTTTTTTTTTTCAAAGAAAGATGTCCTGTAACAATTAAATATATAAATAATTAAAATTTATATCCACAGAAAAATGTAAAAATTTTTTGATAAAAAATTGGAATCCAAATACCATTTAGGATATCGCCTTTCTATCTCTCCTCCTCCTAACTTTTGTCTACAACTTCTCATTTTTCAAGGCCTCCCTCTTAAGAAGGGGAGACCGTACTATGAACTTTCTCCGGTGAATTTTGTTTATTTTATTATTTTAATAAAATCCCTCATAAGTTTTCTTAGTGAGAGTTCTATATTTCTCCTAGAGATTTTTAGTGATAATTATTTGTTCTCCTAAGGGTTGCTATGGAGATTTTTGTATTTTACTTTCTTATTTTGTTGCTAGGACCTATTTTGTTTCAAATCAGATTTGAATTCTTTTTAGATCTCTGATCTATTTTGATAGATCTCATCATCATCATTAGAGTTTAAAGTTGTTTATTAGTAGATCTGACTATTGCAACATGCACGCTAGAGAACTACATCAATTTATCTTATTAGAAGACAATTTTAAAAATTTTTAGATCTATTTATAATTTTTCAAATTTATCATATCTGTTAAATTACGGATCTATAATTTTTAATGGATGTTTACAACTATTAAAATAGTGATATAAATCAAATCATACTAGACAATCCCGTCAATTCATTAATATAATTTGCTTTTTATAAAAAAAAATTAATTAATTAAAATACCAATAATTTTCTTCTTTTTTTTTTTTCATGAGTGAAAGATTTTAAACCAAAACCTCTTACTTATATTCGTTCTCTCCGTATCACCTCCAATCAATCCCTCCCTCTATCACGCAATCCACTCCTCCCCTTGAGTATATCAATTATGTAAGTCACAATTGACTTGTTGCATGATTCTTTTATTTGACATTGAAGTACCAATTGCGACACTCGATTGGCATCGCATCACCACCAAAGTTGCCGCTTGTCCCCCACGAAAGAAATATAATTAAAATAAAATATTGACAGCACCCGACCACGATCAAGAGCGACGCTAATCAAGTACAAGTGCACGAATATCTAATCTCCGAGTAATTCCAAGTCCTTGGGCTGATATCAAACGAACATATTATAGCTCACAAAGCCCAGTGCAATTGCAAATGCTATTGATCGCAATCCCAAGAAACTACAAAAAGCCAGCCTGGCTTCTAAGCCTGCCGACGCGATGAGATGCACAGATCATCGGTCCAACTAACAAAGCACAGCCCAGCCCAGCGAACTTGTCTTGTTATTTACTATGGATAACTCTTTTTCTTATGTACTCTTAGTATACACACTAATAGGTAAGGTTAGATTAAATCACATAAGATGAATTCAAATTTGAAATTTTAATCATGCACATGTGACATGTATCCATAACTGCAAATGTTGAAAAATCACTGCAGTGTCAGTGTATAAAAAGTTAATATATTTATTATTATTATTTATTTATTTATTTTAGCATTGGTTGTTGAACAAATTAGGGGTGGCAAAGAAAGAGCAAAAGAATATATATGGATATATATATATATATATAAGTAGTTATTTTAATTACAGTATTTCTCACTCCTATGTGGTATGCCTAATTGAAGAGAATTAAAGAACTATGGGTCACTTGGGTTTTACCCATAATGAATCCTATTTGGATTATATTATGTGTTTGAAAATTATCTCTAATTTTAAAATAACTTAAAAAAAAACTAAGCTTATCTTAACGATATCTGCTTCCTATCAAATTATTACAATGATTATATTATATGTTTAAAAATTATCTTTAATTTTAAAATAACTAATCTTATCTTAATAATATTTGTTTTCTACCAAATTATTACATAGAAGTATAGTAAAATCTTTTAAATCACAATTATTGAACAAATTTTTAAAATTTAATAAATAATTGAACATGTAAAATACATTAATTTTTTAAAATTAATATGAATGAACATATAGAACTATAGCTAGTTTTTATATTTAAATTATTCATATTTGTATAAATTCATAATAAATTGAAACAAAAAATACTGTGCTTAAGATTCTAGGAATGTATAAAAACAAGCAGCAGAAGCTTTCTTGTCAACATTTAACTAAACCTTAGTGTTTATACTAGTAGTACACGGCCCGGCGTTCTGTGAAATGGAACCAGATAGTTATTAAACCCGGTCCGGTCCGGCGGTCGAACCGGTCATTGAACCGGACCGGGTTTGGAATCAGATCATTTGTGCAAAGAGACCAAAGAGACCGTTGACTTAATCAACGATCGGCAGTCGAACCGGGTTAAACCGGAAACCCGGCCGGTTTTGACCGATTTTATCACTAACCGGATTTTGTGGAAAAATTATATTGCTATTGTTGGAACTCGAACTTCAGATCTTTGCCCCAACACTACCGCCTGCTTACCACCAAACTACTTCCACATATGTTGATATAGTAACTTTATTATGATATATAAACTATCTTTTTTTCTCTAAAACAAATTTATTTGGAATCTTTTAATAAAAATTTATTACCCTCCAAACTCTATAAGTTATAAAATGGATTCCAAAAATAACATATTACATAATTCATTTAAAGACAAATATTATTTTTAATAATTTTTTACACTTAAAATTCATAAATAAGCTAGATAATTACACTAAATATAAATAAAATTTTACACTTGAAGTTTCGTATATTAATAAATAACTTTATATTTGATTGATTCTTATATGAATTAATTATTTTATAACAAATTAAATTAAATGAGCTTTTGTTATGGCATTATTTATTACAATTTATATCATATATCTTATATAAATAATTATGAAATATAATATTTAAATATATGTAGTGACCCACCAGTTCAACCACTCACTCACCGATTCAACCAGTAACCCGTTGACTTACCTCCTTCGTCGGGTTCCTTCCCGGGTTGGGTTTAATAACTATGACCAGAACACAATAGCGGGTCATCTATCGTTGAGGCTCTTTATTTATTACAAATATAAGGGTAAAAAACAAAAAAATCCCTTGTGATAAATCTAATACACAGAAAAGCCCCCTATGATTTCAAAATATACAACACGACACCTCATGTTTTGAACTAAATTGTAAAGGTGATGGAATCCGTTAAATATAACGGAAATGACTTATTGGAATCTAAAAAAAAATTTTATACCTAATTTTTATCAAATATACCTATTCTACCCCTTAACCCTCAATTCTCTCTATTTAGAGAATAAAACAAATGATTTTTTTTAGCTGTCTTTTGCTTAATTATATCAGGGTATTTTGGTCATTTTGTCAATTTCCGTTAAGTTTAACGGATTCCGTCACCTTTACAATCTAGTTCAAAGTATGAGAGGTCGTGTTGTATATTTTGAAATCATGGAGGACTTTTCTGTGTATTAGGTTTACCACAAGGATTTTTTTATTTTTTACCCTAAATATAATAATAATAATTGGTGCAAACTTAGACGTTCCAGATCGAAAATTTACAAACCTCTGGAGCATTACTGAAGACAACCCTTCTGAGTTGGAATTACATAAACCGTGCCACTAATTAATACAACCGATCAAATTCTGAGTGTTTTAATAGGAAGGAGTGCAGCCTCTGGCCTCAGAAGCTCTGTCACCATTGCATTATCTTATACGCTGCTGCTGCCAGCCAAACTATACGGTACCATCACTCACGGCAGGCATTCCCTCACTCGAAGTTGAAGCGCTGGAGGAGAACATCTGATCTGATCGTTTCCTTTTTTGGGGTTGAAGATGGATAAAGCACAGGCCGTCCTAGTAGTAAAATATGAACACCATTAGTCGTCCGGTCCCATTTATTTAGTATTTATTACAAAAGTAACACGAGAGTCGAGAGAAACACCATCATTATGCTCGCAGTTCCCCTTCTGCTCATTTTAGACCTCTTCATCTCATTTTTCTCACTGCCTAGTATACTATGTGGACCATCTGCTTTCCACTTCTTTTAATCATTTTTCTTTTCAGTTTTTGCAGGACCAAGTAAAGAGCGTCCAGGGAGGTATCGCGGGGATTAGATTTAATTAATTAATTTTAAAAATTTAAAAAAAAAAAGATAAAGGCACGGGGGAGCTATTTGGAGTAATGAATTCTTCTTTAAAGTCTAGTAGAAGCTGTACTACTAATTTTTTTCGTAATTTCACATCATTTTTTCGGGATTGGGGGTTGAGTAGTTAACTCTCCAAATTTGCCTCAAGAGTTCCGATTTTTGGAGTTAAATATGGAATTAGATTTAATTAACTAATTTCAAAAGTCGAAAAAAAAAAAAAAAAAAGTAAAGAGCGTCCAGTTTCACTCATCAACAATGTAACAGCACAAGTCAAAACTACAGTGAGTGGGTGAGCTCTATACAATTTAATGTGCTGATTGATGACAATTATTATTTTTTAATGTCACTTACATCCCAAGATATGCTGTTCTTTTATTTATTATTTATTATTCTTTGTTGTCTTCCTCTTGTTTTTGTTTTTGTTTTGTTTTTGAAAGAGAATGACCTTTTGCTACATGACACATAAAATTAATTAGTCCCTACAACTGATCGATCGAGGAAAGCTGATATCTCAATAATTTGTCTTCCTCCAATGTAACAGACTTTTGGGAAGCATTACATGACAGTAAACAAAAGCTCAAATCCTGATATTCTCGGTAAATTTTTTGTTAATCATTTTTTTTTATTTTTTTTTTCAATTGCTTCACGTACATCAAATTGTAAGGGAAAAAAAGTGGTACACGAAATCTTTAAAAACAATTTTGCCAAATAATTTTCAATCCAAACACGCTGAATTTGCTCACCACTAGATCATTAATAGAATTTAAAAGATTGAGTGCTCCGCTTTTTTCATCAGATGATTTCTTACTGCACGCTACGAATCCACAACAAGAAGAGCAAGGATCTAAAGAAAACTAGAGAGAAGAGAATTAACATTACATTGACCTTGTTGCTGAAAAGGTTATTCTTGTTCATAACTACTTGCGCTCCAGTTCCTGATGGCCTGTAACACTGCCTGTTTAACCACCTGGGCATCTATGTTATCCTCTTGCCCTTCGTTCTAGGAAGAAAAGAAGAAATTTTCTTTCATTTTCACATGCATCAATCTCAACGAATTAAAGAAATCAACTTTCATGTCCAATTCAAAATGCAGCCAACTCGTCTTATGCAACTTAGTTATCAAAAGAAATGTAAAGTCTCCTTTTCTTTCTGAGGTGTAGGTCGAGGGCTCAAGCACAATGCAGTGCAGTTGGAAAAAAATCTTAAAAAATGTGTCAAAACACCACCGCTCTCTGATCTAGATGTGTTTGTCTAGACCCAACACAATCCAATGCACGTACAATATATGTATAGTGAAAAAAAAAGGGGCCAAAATAACGCAGTGTGAGGATTTTAGAGCAAGTGAAACAACGCATAGGTCACCGCCTACATGTTGTGAACCACTCATCATCCGTAGAGAAGCCGAAATGTGTGGCCAAATGATGAGGCACAGTGCATGATTCACAGCTGCACGTGAGTGATGTTTGAACAACAAAAGTGAGAGATTGGAAAACGCATTAATCACAACAGCAAAAGTAATGACTTAAAAAAAACTGATGATGTAATTAAAGTTGCAACGTACGGAGATGAAAAGAAGGGAATTTTCTTACTTCACTAACGGCCTCGAGGCGGAAATTATCCGAGCAAGAAACCTTAGCATCCAATACTTCCAGACCTAGCTCCTCGAAGGCTTCCAGAATGGATACCAGCAGGCCAGGGCAGTTCTTTTCTGAAAACACGTTAATCTGAAATCCCTTTTCTAGGGTTTCCACGGTTACCTGACGGATGATCAAAACCCACGAACAAGTGGCCGGAACAAATTAGCTACTCAATTCAGTGGGGAGAAAACAAACAGATTGATGACATGAAAAGTACTTGTACCGCGGGTAATGCGTTTGGGTCACCTGATGATATTTGTGAAGTTGCTGCAACATCTTGATATTTCTTTTCTACTCTTTCCTTCAACTCTTTTATGTACCTCGAAGCATCAACTATGATGGATGCTGTATTCACCTGCCAATTACAAATTCTCGATTCAATTAAGAAAGACGAATTGGAATTTTGACGTAATTAAACGCGGAAGGCTGGTCAGGAGTACTATTCAAATTTCAAACAAAAGGGTATGTGCAGAGGCTACTTCGTCTTGCCTAGCTCAACCTAAAAAATACATGGCGGCTCTCAGCTGATCAGCTGGGTTCCAATCCAGACCATTAACAACAAGTTCAACTAACGACTACAACTGAAGAAAATATTAATACATGGCATCTTAATTAACAAGTTAAACTCATAGCATGAACAGCGCGCGCTTCCATCACATTCTTGTGCTATTAGTACTCCACATTAATCTACCACGAGAATTTTTTTTTTCCTTTTAACTTTAAATCCTTCCTGTCCCCAAAACCCCCGGAAAAAAGAAACAGAAGAGAACAAAAACAAGAGATTCTCCGTCAGCTGGATTTCCACTCTATGCCAAAATTGCCAGCATAAGATGATGCCTCTCTGTCCGGAGAACCACCCAATAATTATAATGATTATCGAAGTAAGTGAAAAAAGAAAATAAGAAAGTGAGTAATGATGAGTTGTTCAATTTATTCATTTGCTGATCTTGATCGCGTCGAATTGCATATATAGCGTGAATGTAGTTCATGAATAAACAACCAAAATAGGACAACAAGTTCCATGCTATAGTGTAGTTTTTTCTATCTTTTTTTTTCTTAACAAATGCTGTAGTGCTCTTAATACTGCACATCGAATGCATAGAAATTCAAAAACTGATCAGACGAACCCAGAATTTGACAAACTGTAGAAAGTATAGTTTTACCGCGGTGGAGTTAGTTACAGAACGAAGTTGCTGCAACTTTCCATGTAAGGCTGCTTTCTTTCGTTCGCTGGAGCCACTCATGCTTCTTCTTCTTCTTCTTCCTCCCCCCGGTCTTTTACCTTTCAACGCACCCTCTTAGTTTTCTGTCTTTGTCAGATATAAAGCGTGCTGCTTGGGTCTTGAAAATGAGATGGAGGCTTTTTTTAAAGGGAAAGAAGAGCTCTCAAAACCTACACCGTCTCTCTTTGTTTGTTTCCTGCATGATGAGTACCTCAAAGGTTCACAAGCACCACCCACGTTTTTGGCTCAATTCATTTTACCAGTACTGCGTACACACCACTCATCTATACTGTATGTGGAATGCTGCAAATAGTGATATTTAGTTCTGAGTGACAACTTTGTCCCTCATATTTCCTCACTCTTAGTACTAGTAGTACAAAGCCTCAGTGGTCAGCGGCCAGGCGATCCCAGTATGAATCCATTGTCGTTACTCTCTTACTTAGCCTTTCTCCTTGAAATGCTACAGGAATTTACCCAAATTTAATACCCCTATCCCCATTTTTGCCACTTCTTCTACTTCGCTTCTTTTTTTCTTCCCCTCTTATTCTATTTTTACTTTTTTTTTTTATTACAATTTATTACGTGCGCGTTTACCTACTATTGCATGTATGTTTGCGTATTAAACTGCCGGCATTTATAAGTGTCCGCCAATAACTGGCCGCTCTGATTCCCTGTGATTGCTCTACCGCAAGCAACGCACGCGGTCAGAACTCAGAAGGGTGTTAGAAACCCCTGTCGTTTTCGTCTTTAGATTAGAAACCGCAGTCAAAACTTGACCGCAACTAATCCTCGTGTTCAAGACCTGACTGCAACCCCCTTTTAAAGTGGAACCTCTTTCCCGCTCTGATTTCCTGCTTGGAAAGTGCTAACTAATGCAAGGAAAACAAGTATGAATAGGGTTGATGTCCCTTAACACTCTAAAACGGGAGTGTTAGCTGAATTTGAGTGCGTTGTCGAGAATGTTGCAATAGACTTTTTCCTTTTGCCTCTATTCTCTTCCTATCATAAGAAACATTGAATTTTTCATGCGAAGCATTCATTTTTTGGCCTCACATCTCCAAAATGGAAATTGCATATATATATTTCCTTTAAAATAAAAATTCCCTAAAATGTTATCCTTATTGTGATTAAAACATAATGTCACAGACTACACAAATCCGAGACACACACATTCAATCAGTCCACTTCAGCTTGCGCCGCCCTTTTATGCAACACAGGGAGTTAAGACGTCCGAATATATTAGCGAATTTAACACCGTCCGTTCGAATTAGGTATTAGGGTCATCTTTGTTCAATGGAACCTTTCTCTTCCTCAGTTTGATATTTTACAACAAAACTCCTGAATCACATGCCCACTGATCAAATTGACTAGCATGCTTGCACTTTGTTTCCTTTGGATTCTTTTTTTAATTTAAAATTTTTCTATTTTGGGTCGGGGAAGGGGTATTAATTGCAGTATACATACAATTACGACTAGCTAGTTGCTTGTGGAGGGGAAATGGGACATTTTGATGAAATGAGATAGAAAATGATGATGTGTTAGGCGCAGTACGTATTATATGGAACAGTACTGTATATGGCTTGCGTACAAACCATGGACGGAGAACATAAACGAAGACGAGAGAGAGTGGGGGAGGGAGGGGGTTTGGGTGCATGAAGACGACTCAAGAGATCCCCCGGCCCCGTGAGAGGTGTTTTGCACTTTGCAGGCATGCATTGACAGCTAGTACACTACTACTAGTAATGCTTTCAATAATTTTTCTTTCCTGCAAAATCAATCCAAGACGCATTATCAGCTCGCCTCGATCCACCACTGTTGCTGTATCTTCCCTCCTTTTCATTGTTTGTTATCACTGTTTTAGTGTGTTGATCGATATAGAGACAGACCACTCACGGGGCTTTGACACAAAATTGCTACATCCAAAAGTACGAAGCATATATATATAGTACTACTACACTTTGGTAGGTCGAAGATTTAAGGATGTACGTACTACATGTTTTTCCTTTTTCTTCTTTGATGCATAATTATTAATTAGCATACATGCACGCGCAACTAATTAATTACACACATATGGGTTCCAATTCAACGATCGAATTCATTCCGGGTTGGTTAATTTCATCGCAGCCGTTGATTAGGCAGTTCCTAATCACTAGCATCACACCAACCCGCCCCAGTCAAAACCTTGAGAGCACTATTGCACACCCCTAATCAAAGGGAACAAGGGAGTTGGATTAGGACTGCAAACGAATCGAGCCGCTCGCGCGAGCGGCTCGAGTCAAGCTCGAGTCGAGCTCGAGCTCGAGCCAGCTCGAGTCAAACTCGAGCTCAGAATATTAAACTCGTTAGCTCGCGAGCCGGCTCGCGAGCTTGAGTATATATATATATATTTTTATTTTTATTTTTATTTAATAATAAAATTACGTATATTATATATATTTTTTTATTTTTTATTTTCATAGTGAAATTACGGATATATCCTTAATATTTTATTATTTATTCAGAAAAAAATATTATTTTATTTATTTTTTTAAAAAAATAAAATAAATTTTTTTATTTTTTTCGAGCTCGAGCTCGAAAATTGCCAGCTCGTCGAGCTCGAGCTCGAGCTCAAGCTTGATAAAATTTAGCCGAGACTCGGCTCGATTAGCTCAAAGTTCGACTCGACTCGGCTCGTTTGCAGCCCTAAGTTGGATGGATCAATTAAGCCTGTGACGGCAAGTCAAATGATGTACGTCTGATAAATAAAGCTGCTGCTGAAATTAAACTCTCTATCCATTGATGTTTAACATATTATGTTCAGGGTCATGTGATCGAAATACATGGCACTGGTATTATACTATATCCTCAATTAATTAGGTCAATGCATGCACGCCCGCTGGCTACATTGATTGGCACTCGCTTGCTAAAAAGAGTATGTAATATTTACGTACGTACGTGTCAAGGCTCTTATTTATTTTACTTCCAAATCGCCAGCCCTGGTGCTGCTAACTAAAATGTCAATCATGAGTCATTGGCATGCATCACCCGGATCTTGGTTGCATGTCCGGTGAACATTCTAATGCATTTTGGATACGGAGAAGATGGATAGAGGCGTATCTATATATTAGTGCTAGCTCCAATTGTTGTTGGCCTGGGGCAGAGTGGTTGATGGCTACTTAAATTTTTCATGCGAGAGATCGAATGTTTTTTGCCAGCCAAAAATAAAGCCAAAGCACGTAATTATCATTGACAACTGTACTGCACCACCATTCCTAATTAATATTATTAGCTGCCCACTAATTAATCCTTTCTGTTTCGATAATAATACTACAAAAATAATAGGAGATTCCCGCTTTGAATTACTACGTACCACAAACTACGTACGTACGGAATTTCTTTCCAGGTATACCATTTCATAAATCAGATAATTAGTGAACTTGATCAGATAATTAATTAGCCTGGTCTCATATCCCCGCGCTAGGAACCACCAAATCAAATCCCTTGTATTTTTTTTCCCCCCTTTTTGGTTTAATTAAGCGCGTACTAGCTGCATCAGTATTCAGCTGGCTGCCATCGGATGGATGACTTCTTATGTATAGAAATTTCTTTTTCCTCTGATGTAAAATTAATGAAACGTACATACAACAATAAAATAAAATAAAAAAATATATATTATACATGCCGATCGAAACAAAGAGATTCATTCATGCTAGCTAAGCTAGAATTTGTGATTAGACTTTCGCAGACGACGTGCTTTCTGTAATTCCATAAGCATGGCATAAAATAGTATTATCGTCAGCTTCTCACAAAGACAAAGCACAACGTACCCACCCATTCACATGTGTGCATTAATCATCACAACAAAACAACCACCCTTCTTGTCTCTTCCCCAACTTCCAATTTTGCACTTCATATATAGCCCGAGGCTCCGGTCGCGAGCTCTGTGGTTTTTCTTTCCCCCATTTTCTCTCTCTGTCAATTTGCTTTCATTACTTCAGGGGGAGCCAAATACTCTGCTACCTGTACGTAATTTATACATCCTGCTAAATAATTACTGTTTCAGTCGCTGTCACAATATCTGAGCAACAAATTACAGTTGCATGCTCAGCTTCTTCTTCTTCTTCTTCTTTTTTTTCTTTTTTTTTTGTCAATCATCATATTCTACTCTTATTCCTATTTTAACTTATACTAGGGGAGGACTTAAGTGGATCAAGAAAAGCGACTTAATTCAAGGACTAAGTTTTCTCATCAACGTTTAACCATGCCGATTAATTAATATGCGAAAATCAGCCTTGGGAATTATTGTAACTCTCACCTGCATGCCCCATTTTTTGGGGCTGAGTGATTACCATAAATTCGTTCAACATACACAGCCCACCTGCTTCACTTTTACGCGTGTGTGTTGGTTAGGGATGTAATAGAACCGACCTAATCGCAAGCAGTTTGGTCAAAATCTTGACTCACACTCGATTTTGCATGAATAGGTCGATAATTATTCAAGTCGAGTTCGGCTATTGATTTTTCAAACTCGGTGGCTTGTCGAGCCTTATCGAAGACAAAGTAATTAACTAAAAATTATATATTTAGTTATTACAATTTTACTCTTTTAGACTTAGGAGTTGTATAAATTATTAGAATTACTCTTTCGATCGAGTCAAGCATTTGAGTTCGAATAGTACCTCTCTACTGTCGAGTCGAGTTTGAGTATAGTGATACTCGCGTTTGACTTGACTAGATTACATCCCTAGTATTGCTTCTACCTGGTGAAATTCCAACATCTATAATCTATCTTATCTGGCGGGCTAGCTAGTTCTAGCTAGTATTTGGTAGTTAGTACTGTGCGAGGCAACTCAAACATATATACCAGTATACTATTGTACGCGATAAGTCCGTCCCAATTCTGAAATGACTTTGGTTCTTATCATGACCTCGCTGATCCGACAGAGAGACGGTAGATGTTGCGAAGCCATGAAGTACAAGATCTCGGATGGAAGGCCTTGTATATGCGTACTCTCAGTCTGTCAATACAAAGAGTGAAATCTCGCCTTATTCTATGGCTGCATATCCAATGATTTAACGTTATCACTTGAATCATACAGCGCCATTGGTTCATATGGTCCATGGTTTCAGTATTACTAGTACATCATTCCAATGGAATTTGGAAAAGCTAACAGGAATTTGGTTATTCATGAAGAACAATACCTTGGTCAATGAACATCCAATTTGTTGGAGATAAACAATTCCTCCAGTTTTCAATTACCACTCATGAATTTCTTGTTTTCAACTTTCAAGATGTGGGATCTAACTAGTCATACGAAGTGACTCTTAAGAAGAAAAAAAGCTCAGGGAAAAGACAAAATGTTAGCTGTGATTTCATGTATCAAAGCCAGTCTTTTCTGAAAATTTTACCATGTTATGAATTGATATGTGTCTTATTATGTCATTAAAAAAAAAAAAAGAAGG